CATAACAGCAAAATCGCATAACAGCCGAGCATACACCCAGCAGCGCTGCTGATGCCTGAACGGTATGTGGAATGAAGTGGGCGGGCATTGGGAGGCCACTATGGCACGGGTCAAGCACTATGGGTAGTCTATCTGAAGTGTACCTGGCGTATAAGATGACCCCCCACTTGGAGGCATATTTTTCAGGGCCAAAAAAATCGTCTTATACGCCGGCAAATATGGTAACCCCTTATCAAAAGTGTTGGGAAACAGATAATTGTAACACTAGATCTGAAATGTTACGGAGCATAGAGGATGGGAGAGGATGCTGATATGTATTTGAGGGCTGGCAGAGGCATGAGAGTTGTCAGAAAAGCATTAATTGAAGACTTTCCAGTTGGTTATTGAAGGAGAAATAGAACTTTTAAGGAGAGGAGTGAATTCCAGGCAGAGGGGAAGGCAAGCTCAGCAAAAAGGTACTGAATGAACGTTTGAAGAAGGAAAAAAAAATCCATGTGATGGTTGTGTGGAACTTGGCATGTTACTTGTATAAGTCAGCTTTATAAATGATACTAGGCTGCCTTTGCCAGCCTGCAGAAGCCTATTTAATAACCGATTATACAGCTTTAATAATAGTGTCCTGCAACGAGTCATCATTTGTAGCAGTGTTTTCCATTGGAAACTGCTTTTAGGATTTCAGGAAAACCGGTTATGTGTCTGACTTCAAGCTGAGCAGCAGGATCTGGGGCTCCTATTTTCTCTGATTTGGGGAGCAGAGATTTACTGGTTCATAGTTAGTTAGGGTCCTTGAGAGAACCTATAGAAAGGGCTACATTGATGGCTTGGAAAGATTTTAAGTTCAGGTGACGGGGGTTTCTGAATACTGCCTGGGAGTGATGGATGATACAAAGTGTCATTTTAAGGATTAGGTAGCTCTGACCAGGACCAGTGAAGATGAAAAGATGATGTTTATTCCAGGCAGTAGTGTTCACGATAGTCTCAAGCAGTGTGGTAAGACTGGAAAAGATGTAAGGAGGGCACCACAGCAGCAGGGGGGAAGAGGAGTGTCTGTGGCTTCATTACAGGTGAGGTAAGTAGATACATTTCTAAGTTGAATTGTATGTATTCTGTGCTAGTTAAGTTTAGGTCAGAAATCTGTCTTAATCATAACAACAGCTAACAAGATATGTAAACAGCTAACATTTACTTAGTGCTTACCATAGGCTAATTGCTATGGTGTCTCCAAAACAATCTGAAATGTATCACCCCATTCTACTGGAATTACTCATAGATCTTTGGGAATAGGACTTGCAGAGTTGTGCTTTACAGTTCTATCTAGCATATTCAACTCTTCTTAAGAGTAGTTGATCAAGTAATTTCTTACCAGTAATCAAATAAAGATTTGACCTATAATTTCATCTTGGTAGATAATTAGTTTTAATATGACCAAGGAAAAAGTACATGTAAACAGCTTTGAGGTTATGTCACTGTTATATGAT